GGTGTCCATCCTGAGAAATCGCCAATGTAGACCTTCATATTTCCGAGGCTATGTCCATTGGCGTGTAGGGAGTGTGCGATAAAAATATGCCGTATTTATGTTTTTTTTTTTTTATATATATATATAGCTATCACGTAATGAGAAAGATAAACTATACGCAAATATGTTAACTAAACGTCTGCTACGGGGAATGCCAACTTATATCAGTACAAGAGACGATTATGTTCTTATCAACTTAAAATATAAATCTTTAAAATTCGTGCTCTATACATGTTGGCGAGATAGATATAAAATCGGCCCAGAAGAAATCCAACGGTTTATTAACCACCACATGTCAAGTCAATCCACTAATGTAATCGGTCTATTCGTTACAAACATTGGATTTAAAAGTGAAGCTTTAAACCAAGCAGCGGATTCAAAAATATTTTTATGCACCAACGATGATCTTATAGAAATTATTGAAAGATGTTATGAAGACATAAAGAAAGAAAGTTTTTTAAACTTCGGCGATGTTATAATCGATGATCTCGAATTTAATGATGGAAAAATTAAACGAATTGGTAAAATCACAATGCGCACCAGCCGATTTAGTCCATATTGATGGTTAATTATTTTTTGCAAAAAAAATAAAAATGTAACTTTGAATTAAATCAAAGAAATGTTTAGTATCATTTTTACAAAATAAATCTTATAATAAACGTGAATAATTACAAAAAAATCTCGATTTTTTTTTCCTACGATTTCTAATGATAAAGTACTCAAAGAACTTAACTAAACAATAATTTGAAACAAACTCAAATTGCTTGTTACCTTGACCATTATGAATTTATCAGTCAATTAACAGTCAATTAAGTCATGGATATGATAGCGCTCTTATATTAGATGATGTAGATATTGAGCTTAATATCGCGTCGGTCGATTCTTACTGACAATTTTAAAATTCACCACCCGATTGATCTCTTTTATCTTGGTTTTTTAGTTGTGTAGTAAAAATTTTAGGAATTCAAAGGTTGCATTTTCGATATTGAGTTAATTAAAAAATAAAGGCATTTATTGTAATTCTTAGTAAATGCTATAACTTAAATACTCCTTCGATAAATAAGATGGTAAAGAAAGAGAAATATATATTCACAACTTGTAAATATTTACACGATTTAACTAATTAATTTTATTTATCACGGTTAAACGTTAAGAGGTACAGTTGGGCAGGTAATTTACATTAGTGGCGACAGATTACGGACATGCATTACCATTCATAACAAATAATGATAATTATAATCGTAATATTTAATGGCTTCAAATGTTGGTTTACTTCCCAATGGCAAAAGACAAACTGTAAAGACGACGCGACGCCTATGATGCCGTTAAACCAGATCGTCAACGCTGTTTGTGAAAAGCAGGGGGTATACGGACGTAGAGACTTATGGGCTAAAGTAAGTTAATAGCCTGTTCTGTTTTTTTTTCATTATCTTCCGCTATCAGTTTTACCTAGAGATGGGAAAAATGCGCATTTTATAATAACATGCACATGAATACGCATTAATGCGCACGTTATATAAAATGCGCATGATATAATTTTTTTTGATTTTCCCTCCGCAAAATAGCGTATTTGCCAAAATTTTTTCCTTGACCCTTCTCATCTTTATGTTCATTCATTTTCATTTCGGAATTTTTCAAAACTTCTGTATTCCTATTTCTTAATTTTGCCTGGCATTATACACCTTGGCCTAAATTAAATATACTTTAATTTTCCTATAAATTTAGATGGGATAAAATGCGCATGATTCCGAATCATGCGCATGAATGTGCACGATTGAGGAATCATGCGCACGCATGAAACCCATCTCTAGTTTTACCATATAAACACACGTGTATATGTCTTTGTTTATTTATAACACTTAGGCTAAACAAAAAAACTTTCGATCTTGGACTTTCTATGAGATTTGCCAATCTTGCGCCAGGGTGCAAAACTGGAGCTTATCAAAGTTTCTGCACCGAAAGGTAAGCATAAAACATCAAATAAACCAATTTCGCTTATTTTAATCTTTTTTTTTTTTATATTGGCTCAGAAGGATGTTCAATTAGATGATGGTGGAAGAATGATTGAGAAATTTTCAATTACGACATCTATTTGGGATATAATACTTCATTTTGAGAAAACGTCTGTTTATGGGTAATTATATACGCTCAGAAATATTTAAACCTTACGAGACGAACAGCACCTGCGCCCCCAAAAAAGTATTCCCGTTGAAAAAATTTAGTAAATCGAGATTTTATCAGCAACCCGTGTGTTTAATATTAAATTGAGATAATATTTTTATTCGTCATTAATTATAAAATATCCATTTACACTATAGTATTGGACCATATCGTTACTGAAATCCACAACTCTGCAATCTGCCGGAATCACATCAGGAAATACTGTATTACGGCTTCTATTTAGACAAAATGAATTGACTTTGGATGAGGTTGTAAAGGATATTGAAGCATCTCTTCCGAAAGAACTGACCGATACTGCGTTCACGTTTGATAAACAACAGAAGGAGCCAATTAATACTATGAATTACTATGATGAACAACAAAAGAAACCAATTGATACTATGAATAATCCTGATGAACAACCGAAAGAGTCAATTGATACTACTATGAATGATCCTGATGAACAACCGAAGAAGTTAATTGATACTATGATGAACAACCGAAGGAGCCAATTGATATTACTATGGATGATCCTAATGAACAACCGAAAGAACAGTTCGATACTGTAGGACGTTTTAATCGTGATATAACCCATCACCAGAAATGTGTTGATGTCAAATCAAAGTAAGGCTTAGTGTTGACGCCAATTATTATATCGTATAATGTGCTTTCGTAAGTATTAATTAATTTTTTTATTTATTTAGTCGATCTTCCCGACTCTCTCTAAGATTTGACTGCGGCTGAGCTGCAATATTTACAAATGGAAGAGAATGCGGGGTTCAAGACTAATGTCATGCGTGCTCAAGAAGAAAAAGAAAGGGAACGCAAGTACCCAAAGGTTATTATTGTACTATTTAATTAATGTTCCGATTCGGACCTGAATCCGAAATTTCGGTCTGAATCCGAAGCCAATCCGAAGTATTTAAGGGCTAAACATTTTAACATGGTCAACTTGGAATTTATATATTAGTGCAATGTGAAAGAAAAAACTGGACCTAAATCTCAAATTACAGCTATTATCATAATTCCCGAAACACCTGATAAAAATTAGCCGAATGATTGTTTGGTCGATTCGGTTAAGTTAGTGATTTCGGCATGATCCATTATATAATAAAAATAATAAAAGTTATTATGACCAATTATAACAATAATGTCAAAGTTATTAAATTTTCGTTCCAACGCTTGTCCAACATGCTTGGTGTTTAGTTTGCACGAAAAGACTGCTCGTGTCAACCAATAAACCTTAGCAAGGAATCTAAAAAAGGGACCAGATATAAATTACAAATATATTACACGTACAGGTGCCGCTATTAAAAAAGTTAATATGATCATGAATTTGTCGACTGGTTTAAAATGAATCCTTATTTTCAAATATTATCATGTTAAATTTTATTTAAATAATTAAAAAAGTAGATCAAAGACATATTTATAGTAATTATACAGGCAAATTTGCCTGCAAATCTCTATTAATTAAGAGATAGAAATTTACAAGCCCAAAAATACTTTTAATAATATCTAGAAAAAAAAATTATTAATAATGTATCATAAAATAAAACAAGGCTAAAATGAATAGAATTACACTTCCCAAAATTTTTATTGCTCTTGAATACTAACCTCTAACTCAACTATCTAGCTACTTCAACCTACCAACAAATATTCTAACTTTAACTTGAACTAGGCAACAATGTTGTGAATAATGTGTTAACAATAAAGCCAAAAGTATATATAATAAAGTGAAATAGGATCCTTACCCAAACTCTAAATTCCAAAAATTGACTATATTGCTAGAAGTACAGGTATAATTCTAAATCCCAAATAGAACCATCATGAATAGGATTGATTTTCAAACAGTATACTAAAGATGGCTTCACTAATTGCTTATAGACAAGAAGCAAAACTTAAAATGCTGTATATGCAAATTCTCACAAAAATTTGGTGCTAATAACAATGACAACACCCAAATCACCAAGGCACCAACAGTAAAGCCAGAATAACAACACCCAATTCATCAGGGCACACTAACAATAATGATACCTAATTCATCAGAGCACCAACAACAAAGCCAAAATATAGCACCAAATCTGAGAGACTATAAGTGGCAACTTCATTGCATTGTGGCTTAACCTGCACAATAAAAAAAAATTAGTATTTTTACTTTAAAAAAAAAAGCAGGAAAAAAAATACTAATCTGATATGATTGATAATCACTATTTATATTATATAATTAGAGATGTATTAAAATATAATTCTCTTTATATAATATAATTTTTTTAATACTATACTAAATTTAGTATAGCAAAATTTTAAAACAATACAACAGTATAATTAACAACTCTTTCTGACAATTACTTTTATCATATTTTTTTCTTGAAAAACAATTTATTAAAAATATAACAAGTGTGTACTTTGGTGTTATTATAAGTTAGAAAAAGGCTATAAGTCAGCAGCTGTTATTTAGAGATAGTTCTCATATGCTACCTGCTAACAGCTTCAGAATTTATTACTCACTGCAAAAGCAATGGCACTTGTTATTTAGAAATAGTTCTTATATACTATTTGTGGACAAGTTCAGAGTTTATCACTCATTAAAAAGAAAGTACTGCATGCTCACCCCAATAGGGTTTAGTAGATTGCTGTTCTTTTAATAAAAAAAAATTCACACTCTCTATAAAAAGGTACAAGCAACTTGACTCTCTTTACTCTTTCACTAGTTTTACAAATTTTTTGACAAAAGTGGGCAATTTAGCTCACTTCTTCAAATAATCGGCATTGTGTGTATTTCAAATTGGATTAAGATAGCAAACTACAACCAAGTGCTCAAATGAGGTATTGCTACTATATTTGGCTAAGTTCTAGACTAGGAACCCCTAATAGTAGCAGCAGGTAGCTTGAGATATGAGTCCTCAGATAGCAGCAGCATTTGGTTTGAAATACAAATTAAGATGAACATAGCAACAAACAGATTCAGAATAAAATATAAGGTCAAAAAGAAAAATTAAACATTAAGGCAAAGCTTTACAATAGGAATATACAAAATTTAGATTTGCTATATAATTTTTACAAGCTTTGTACAGGCTGTAATAGTCTTTCTTGTTTGTAAGTCATAACTATAATTTCTTTTTTTTTGTTTTTTCTATCTTTGTTTTTTTCTTTTCTTTACACTAGTGCATATAATATTTTCTTTTTTTTTACTCTTTTTATACTTATCCTCTTTATACTCTTTTGATATTTTGTTTTTTTTATTTTTTTCATTGTAAATAAATTAGAGACTAGTTTTTCTACCAAGATCTAGATAGGAAAAATTTAAAAAAAAGAGGTAATTATAACAAGCTGGTAGTTTCTGGCCAATGATTTGTAGACTTAAAATCTGATGTTAAGTTCTAGACGAAACAAGAAGGCTGCTTTTACCCCAGTAGATCACATATAGGTCCAATTAGAAACTGAATGAGTTACATTTTAGTTATGTTAGCAGTATTTGCTATATATAAAATCTTGTTGTAGTGATTATATAGAACCAAAATAAAGTTGTAGCATGACCACTGTATTATAATTAAAAAATAATAATAATAATACAACAAGTTTAAAAATAAACTAGAGTTGTTGATGAAACTAAATTGAGCTGGTAAAATTGGTAACTATCTGAAATCTGATTGGCTGTTTACTACAATAACCAATTAGATTTTACCGTATTTTTACGTAATAATGCTTATGAGCGTTATTTCAAGGTTCAGCCCGAATTAAGCTTAATTCAGGCTGAAATTCATAATTTCACCCCTGCGTGTTATTACGCAGTAATATAGTAAATAGCCACCAGTTTCATCAGCTTAATTTAGTTTCACCAACAACTTTAGAATAAACTAATAAAATTTTTATTAATAAATATTACTAAAAATATACAAAAAGATAGTTCTAATATTCAAATATATTTTAGCAAAGTTTGAACAAATTTGATTAAATAATTAATCTAAAATAATTTTTTTATTTGTATTAAATTTAGTATATAAGCCGGATGTTCTATAGAATAGGTGGGCAAACTCCGCAAATTCCACAACTCCACTAAATATTTATTAATGATTATTAATTATTAGCGGAGTTTTTTTATATATTGCCCACCTATTCTATAGAACATCCTATAAGCCAAATAGATATCTATTAAGTAAAAAAAAAGTTTTATATAAAAAATATATAATTTTTAATATTAGTATATAGATAACTAAGATAACCTATTTTGTTATTTAGAAAAACCTTGTTCAGTATAAAATTTTATATCTAATTTTTTTAAAAAAATTAGTAAATATTAGAGTTTTATATTTAAAATTTGCAAAATTTACAAAATTTTAATTCAATTTTTATGCTAACTTTGTTTGCTATTTTGTATTATATATTGTTGTACAATTTATTAATATGTAGGTGAAAAAACATCATGAAATCAAAGTTTAAAATAATTATATATATATTTTTTATAATTTTATATGTATATAAATTTATAAGCACGACACTCTCCCCGACGATCACTTGTACCAAATTTTTTACACCGAACAAGAACAAAAATTTTGTTGGAGTAGCTGACGC